AGGAATACGTGAGCATAACAGTTTAGAGGAAAAACTGAGGGATTGTTGTAGACTGGTACGCAATTGACGTCGGCCAGGGAGATATGACGTTTACACAGCTATACGAGAGATTGGTTAAAGCTAACCCCTACTGTGTAGAGAGGAGCAAGCAAGGACATTTCTGTATCATTGCAATGTTTTGTTAGTTATTGTCATAAAGTAGTGATATGTACATTCCGCCTTTCCGCCTTGACTTGTACTGAAAATGATGTCCATGTTGTACCTTGCATGCAGTGTTTTTTTACATTGTTTTTTGTACATTTTTTTTGTACTTCATCATGACTACATGTACTAGAGCTTGTCTGAAATGGTTATACCTGTGACAGTAATACAGTACGAGATGTGTATATCAACATGTGCCTCCTACAAATAAAGACTTCTTGTTGTTCTTTGATATATTGTGTTCTGTGGTCCAATTCATAATAGCAGCTCCGTAGTCCTGTGCTTTTAGCAGGATTTTTTTTTTTTGGCAGGATTTTTTTCTTTCGCCCTCTCGCATTAGTTTTGGGGTCTCCAGAGGATGTCATCCATACAATTAAATCAGTGTGGCCTAAGATAGGTTTTGAACTTGGGTCTACCGGTTTGACGCGAGAACCACTATTCTACCAGTGACCGGTCGGAATTAGTAAGCACTTATATGACGCACAGATTATGGGTCTCACTATACAAAAGGCACGTAACCACGGAAATAGTTTGTAATGATGTGGAATAATATAATATTATATTTGTATTCTCATCTATTCGATGTCTTACTGTGTTGAGTGTCCCGTGGTACCAGCAAACTTAAGCGTTCATGTGACTACTGAATAAAAATACCTGCATCTCATCTTCATATCCATTGAATCGTAAAGTGTGTGTAATACGGTAACATTTTACTCCATATTATGTGATATTAGTTACTGTAATAAATACTTATGTATTCGTAACAATAATAAATTAGGCAAATCTGGAATAACTTCAACCTTTAAAACATTGAAACATTCGTTTTATTGATATAATAACTGCTAATAACAGTGCAAAAACGAATAAATATGAATCATTTAACAAAAAATATAACCGTAATCACATTTTGTTATGCGAAAGTGTTTGAGATAAGCGAAGAGAGGGTAGATCAACAAATTTTCAAACGCGTTGGCTATAAAAATTCAAATATTTAAAACAATAAGAGGTAGTCACTAAACCATGTACTTTCACACTCAAGCAAGAGACAGACATGTTGGTGAAATACCCTTGCACTGTGAGTGTTTTTTGTTTGCAGTCTTTAAAATACCAGTTTTTTTTTCACAAATAAAAAAACACAAAAAAACAAAGAACTGCAGACCTCTTAACTTCATATTTTCAAGTGGGCGTCCAAGTTTCCAAATTCAAAAATACACATAATATTTCTATTTATTTTATTTTATCTTATTTTATAATATTTTCACTGAATTCTTCAAAATAAATTTACCATTTACAGATTAATTTGTTGTACACTATTTAATCTTAATATTTTATAATCCATATCCTTATATTTGAATCTGTTTCAAGACATTTGAAAACAAATATTTTAGAAGCATAACAATACAACGACTAGATTTGGTGTCACAGTTTGCTCCCAATTCATACTGGAATATTGTCAGCAATAATTAATAAAGCTTGTTCAAAATACCATTTATTCCCGACATCATACTCAGTGGCTAGTTCTCAGGATCTACAACAGTAAAAAATAAATAGAAATCATTTTGATGCCATGTTTTTAGACGACACCGCCATATCGCACAGATATGTAACACCCACATATAAAATTTTGATTTGGACCACATTTCAAGCTGCAGGTTGTCTAAACAATGACTCAACAAACAATAAACACATCTTCCACCAACCACCAAACATTTTAGTCATAAGTGAACAACCAAGAAAGCAACAAATATCAGGCTGCATCCTGAAAACAACGAGATAGCACATTACAACCTGTTATTACAAACATGAAATCCTCCACCCCTCCCAGTATACACCCGACAACATTAATGGTTTCTACACTCATTTGCATCTATGTATAGCTTAACCAATAGATGCGCCTGACTCATCAA